AAAAAAAAAAAAAAAAAAAAAAAAAACATTAGTTGAATTTTGATATTATTTGTCTTTAGACTCTAGCATGTCATGATATAAAATATATGCTTTATTTATGTACATACATATGTTGTTAAAAAAATGAAATTAACTTTTGCAAATTGACTTTGATAATCATTTATACGTATTCGATAGAATAAATTAAGTGGATTATACAAATAAATTTAAAAATCTTGTTATGTCTTATAAGCACGGTTCAAAAAATCAGCCTAGACGCTAGGTGGTGTCCGAGCGCCTCCGATTTATACAAATCGGCAGAAAATATCGGTCAGACGGCTAGGCAGCGCCTAGATGGGCCTAGGTGACCCTAGGCGCTGCTAGGCAGACTTGGCGGGTTCGACGGCCAGGCGGACACAGGCAGACCTAAGCGCTCTTAAGCAGGCTCGGCGATAAATTTTTAGTTTTTTTTTTTTAATTTATTTTAATACTAATTACATTATTTTGTTCTCATGTTTTATTTAAAATATATTAATTTTATTATTTGGACTTAGGTGTGTAGATTTATTATAAGTTGAGATAATTTTATTTTTTTTATTAATTTTATTATTTGAACTTAAGTGTGTAGATTAATTATAACTTGAGATAATTTTATTTTGTAGGTAGTTAAAATAAAAAAATAAGGTACTTAATATTGATTTGTAGGTCCCGACTAAGGGGCGCCAGGCGACCAGCGCCTAGCGGACGTCTAACGACTTTTAGAACACTGCTTATCAGTCATAAAATTAAATACATCTATACATACATATAGTATTTGATTTTGATTTAAAACTTTTCCCAGTAGTTAAAATAGCCAAAAGTATAAAATTAAAAAAATTATGATATTTGATTTGAATTTTTTTTTTTCCCATTATTATAGTAGTTAAAATAATTAAAAGTTTATCAGTCAAAGTCAGGATATGGAAAAAAATGACTACCTACATGTTTTCAAAATTTTCAGTTATAAAACTTTTTTTTCAAAATTATGTGAATTTTGACTGTGTTCATCAATTCTGACCCAATGACTCTTTTCACATACGAATTCCAAATAATCATACTGTTAGCGTGTTTGAGTTAACGCGTCTTATATTGTTCCAATTTTTTCACTAAGGACCATTGTGAAAAAGAAAGAAAAAAAAAAAAAAAAAAAAAAAAAAAAAAAAAAAAAAAAAAAAGAGTAATTAAAATATATATTTTGGGCCTTGACTTTGAAGAAACTTCCAAGTTCTAATATCTGTTTATAAACTTTATATTAAAAAAAAAGAATAAAATAATATTAAATAAATGAACAAATACAGAGTCCCTTTTTTCATGCCATTTGACTTGTAATAATAGCATTGCTTAATAAAGTTCACACTCAATTCAAGAGCGCTTGAATGAGATGGCTCGGGTCTCTTCCAACTTAACTAGTGGCCTCGAGTTCGAGTCCTAGAAATGCAGCAGTGTTAAAACTCTTGAGGGAGAGCTTTGCCGCCCTTGTGGTCATACCGGCTCGATTCCGGATTAGTCGATTCCCCTGTGGATCCAGAAACCGGAAAGTCCCTATACCAAAAAATAAAATTCACACTCATATTTTACAGTTTTTTTTTTTTTTTTTTAATGGATGTAGATGTTAATATAGATGTTATCTTAGTTTAGTGTGTCACTTTCATTTTGAAACAATCTAATAATGGTGTTATTTTTTTTTTTCATAAACATCCCAGATTGGGATGGGGGTTGAGGCTACACCCCCGACCTGTGAATATAATGGCCCGACTAGGGCTAAAAAGTCAATGGTCTACATCCAATTCGGGACTACATAGAGCAACATCAAAAGCAGAAAAATAAAAATAAAAAAATAAAACCCAAGGATCACAATAACAATCCGATGTGGATCTAAAATCAAAACCTCATGAAAGGTCGTCTTGGGCAGGGTGACCTGTCATGGAAACCAAAATGTCAAAACTAGCCAGGGGCAGGTGGTGGCGGTCGACTGAATCTGAAGGATGGGTACTCTAACTGGTCCATTCGAATGAGCGTCCGAAGCCGGAGGGGAATGTCCTCAGGAAGAAGGGTACGTCTCTGGGGTATAGAAGCCCCCGTGCTAGCAAGGAAATCAGCAGGCCGATTCCCCTCCCGGAATATGTGTGAAACCTGGTAATGAACCGAGCGGAGGGTGTCTCTGATACGCATAAGAGGATGCTGGATCTGCCATGAGCCCTGGTGGCCAGATGTCAAAAGTGTGATGACAGCCGCAACATCCATCTCAATCCAGACATGAGAAGAGATCGAGGCGGCAATCTCGAGGCCAATCTGGAGAGCCTGAATCTCTGCATCATAACTCGAGGAGGCCCGGAGTGGCCCATGGAAGGCAGAGATGAGTGCTCCACCATGATCCCTGATCAGGCCTCCTCCTCCAGCAGCTCCGGTATGTCTGTCGAAAGCGCTATCAGTGTTTAGCTTAACCCAAGGGGCCTTGGGTTTCAGCCAAACAACGGTCCTGGGTCGTGGATGCTGGACAGGTAAAGGAGGAAGTGGCCTCAACTGATGGGGCGGTGTACACCCTGTCCAGTCTCTCGTCGTGAGTCTACCCAGGACGGTGAGGAGTGAGAGGTGTCTGCCAACCTGCAAAATAATGTGAGCACAAGAAAATATAATATCCCTATGCTTCGCATTATTCCTATCTGTCTAGGTGGCCCATAGGATCAGACAAGGAATAAGGAAGCCCACGTGTCTACTGTGTGTGCGGTGTAAGAAGAAACTCAGGAGCTCAAAAAAACTGTCTGTAGTGGGTAGGGGTATATGAGTATATCTGGCATAGTGCTCCCACACTCTCCTCACAATCTCACTCTCAAGGAAAAGATGGGCAAAAGTGTCGATCTCAAAGGTATCGGTCTCAGCACAACAATGGCAGCGGGAGGGGAAGGAGAACCCTCTCGCCTGCATCACAGTGTCAATGGGGATCCGCCGTAAAAGGAGACGCCACAAAAAGACGGAAATGGCCGGGGTGAGAAGGTCAGTCCATATGGCCCCGAAGAGGCGGTTTGGCCGGTTGCCCAGCCTCACTTCTCCCCAGGCTGAGGACGTAGAGAATGCACCCGAAGATGTAAGTCTCCACCTCATGCCATCCAAACCTCCCTCCATGATGGGAATCTGTCGGATCTGGTCAATCTCTAGACTACTAAAACCCCCACCCTCACCAAGAATATCCTTCATCCTATCTCTATCCCAAAAACCTCCCGTCCAAAGGTCCTTCACTGGCATGAAAGGCAGGTGAGTGACGGGCCTAGTACTCGAGAGAGGGGCCTCGCCGAACCACCACTCATCCCAGAAGCTAACCTCCCCAGAACCCAAGGTCCAAAAAATGTGCTCCTGAGCACGCCTGCCAACAATGGTAAGACGTCTCCACTGTCGACTATCCCGAGAAGTGGCTGTCACCCTGCAGGGATGAGCAGCACCACCAGGCAATATTTCCTCAGGAGGTATTGGGCCCAAAGGGACTTGCCCTCCCTAAGGCGCCACCACATCCTGTAGGAAAACGCAGTAACCATATCAGAGAAACGCCGAATCCCGAGCCCACCCTCAGAGTGGGGACGACAGATGGAGTCCCACTTCACCCAGTGGGTCTGCCGCTGACCGCGCGAGCCCTCGCCATAGCTCCAAAAGTAGCGGGCTAAGATCTGATCTAACTCATGAATCGTAGACTGGTGGGGGTCAAGGACCGCGAGAAGGTGAAGAGGAAGCGCACAAAGAGTGCTCTTGATCAGAGCAAGTCGGCCCCCGAAGGATAGGTGTCTATGTGACCAGCCAGAAATCCGGTCAATCATCCTCTGACGGACATAAATAAAAAGCTCATGAGAAAGATGGCCTTTGTACAAGGGGGCCCCAAGGTAAGGGATGTGTAAGTCCCCACGAGCAAAACCAGTACGCTCGTGAATCTGGTGAGCCCAATAGTCTGCAACGTGATGGTCCATGATAAAGGAACTCTTACTAACACTGACTAGCTGGCCAGATGTCTCACTGTAGTGGTCCAAAAGACTCATGAGAGCAACTAGCCCATTACCATTCGCACGAGTGAAAATGATAATGTCATCCGCGTAAGAAAGGTGGGAAATGGAAGGCCCACAACCACGCGTGCTGTAGGTCATCCTCGGAAAATCGCGAATGAAGTCGTCAAGGCAGCGAGAGAGATAGTCAGCCACCAGAACAAAAAGGGAGGGGGGATAAAGGGTCCCCTTGACGAAGGCCGTGGGTAGAGGGGAAAAAGGTCGTGGGGCTACCATTAATCAAAACGGAGAATGTGCAGTGTTCCACACACGCCTCCACAAAGCTAATCCAACGGTTGGGGAATCCCATCCGAGCCAGTACCTCTCTGAGAAACGACCACTCGACCCTATCATATGCTTTGGCCATGTCTAGCTTCAGCACGAGGTTCGGGGTTCGTGTTCGATTCGCATGCGAGATGTCGTGTATCATCTCCTGAGCCAGTAGGATATTATCACTAATGACTCGATCCTTGATGAATCCACTCTGATTCGGAGAGACAAGGTGGGGGAGGAGGGGAGCGAGGCGACTGTTGAGGATTCTAGAAATAATCTTGTTAGTCACGTTGCATAAGATGATAGGTCTATAGTCAGACCAAGTGCTAGGTCCCGATCTCTTCGGGATCAAAATGATAAAGGTTGCCGTGAAGGACTCTGGCATCTGGTGGCCAGAGAAAAAATCCCTCACAGCTTCCTCTACGTCAACACCCACAATCTCCCAGCAAGACTGGAAGAAGAGGGACGAAAAACCATCCAGTCCGGAGACGCTGTTGGGATCAATCCCAAACACAGCCTCCCTGACTTCCTCCTTACTCGGGAGGTCACAGAGGTCAACAAGGTCGACCGACTGCGGGATGGTCGGAAAGAGGACCGGGTCGGGGTGCGTAAACAAATCCCTCTCAGAGGAAAAGAGAGAGAGGAAGTAAGCCCTAGCCGACTCCCGTATCTGGGACTCATGGGTCACGGATGACCCGTTATCCTCGACACTATGGATATACGACTTGACTCGCTTCTGCCTCACGAATCCCTGGAAGAACTTGGTATTACGCTCCCCCTCAGCCACCCAACGCACAGCAGCCTTCTGCTTCCAGAAATCTTCCTCCATGAGGAGGCGCAACTGGTACTCAGCATGGCAGCGGCGCATCTCGGACCTATTCTCTGGCGAGGAATCCAAATCATAGGTCCGTTTCGCCTCCGTATACGCAGTCTGAGCTGCAGTAAGGCGCTGAGAGATGTCACCAAAAA